GGCATCTTAGCATTGTACACGTTACACATGTGTTGGATCAGCATCTAAGCAGTTATTGTTCATAGTCGACAAAGAAAACATCCAAACAAGTAAAATACGAATTTTCACAAAAAGATCTTAGAAGACTTATACAGAAACTGTGCATTTACAATGAATAAAAAGCAAATATAATTAGTTTTATCTAGTAAACTCCATTGACACCAATGATCGTGTAAAGCATTTCAGCTACCTCACAATATGGTTTGATAGGCTTTCTAAAGATCTTTTCCAAATATAAGTTAATGTTCGTTTTATTATTCTAACTACTATATAAATTGATCCTTTTTGATCAAAAATGGGTAATTCATAAAACAAAGATTGTTACAAGTCTTTTCTGTAAAATAATTGCTTTTGATAAGTTGATCATCTTTTTCAAAATAACCCACTTTCACAGCAATAGACTCGAAATGCTAGTTTACCAGAGATAAGTCTTTATAGATCCCTTTTAGACAAGGTATCTTTCTTATATGTTTTCGTCTAAATACGCTCCGATTCTGGTATGATTTTGGTGGGATATCACTGATTCTTAATTCATTTTCTCTTGGTTCCCCTTATTTCCATCTAGAATATAGTCTAGTTTCTATTCTATTCTGTAGATGAGAACTGCTTGAAAGAGAAAGGTTCCAGTGTAGTAATTTTCTGATCATATTCGACCGAAACGAAGCAAAAATCAGCATTATACGTTGTCTCAACTCAGAAAAGACTTCGAATAGATGGCCATGTATCACGGTACTGAGTGAAAGCAGAATGAATGAAGGCTTTCAATCAATGCTAAATGAATGATGTTTGAGAAAAAATGATTTGGAAGCAAACATCATCTACAACGATAAGGCAATAAATAGAGAAGGACGACGAGTGCCATGACGATCAAGAAATTAAGAAAAAATTCGATCTAATAAAATAGAGTGAGACTTAGTCAATTGCAACTTTTCTTGCTTTCAAAAAATATTTTCGCGCTTTTAAAATCTTTTCACTATCTTTAATGATGATTGAATGTGAATTACATATTTTTGACTCATGAAGAAGCATGCTAACAATTTTCTATGATATAATTTGTTGGAGCTTTCAATATCCTCTAGAGTCATATGAGAATGGATATCGGGCAGGAAGTGTGAGTTTGCAGAGTATTCTTATCCTGAAACCATTATTGACAATTGATGAAGATAAGCTTGTGAAGGTTTATTGAAAATTGATTCGTGATAGGCAACTAATCGACTGAAAACAATCAGATTCAGTAGAGTAATTAGTACTTGAGCGAATCATATAAAGTACGATACCTTGGCCAAAGTATAAGGATACCTTAGATTGAAGAAAACTATTGAATATAATAATCTGTATTTCTAGTGACGACAACAACGACGACGACAGCAACAACAACAACGACAACAACGACAACAACCACAACAACGACAACAACGACGACAACAACATCAACAACAAGCACAACAACGTCAAC